CACACCCACACACCCACACACCCACACACCCACACATCAACTCTCTCTCTCTCTCTCTTTCTCTCTCTCTGTCTCTGTCTCTCTCATATTACATACCCCTACTTTCGCCATCCCCACCCCCTCTCCCACTCACACACACACACCACTGTAAACATTGTAATATAATGTGAAAGAGCTAAAACATGCGGTAGTGTCAAGAAACAATATTATGAATAACGTATAATGGAAGTTACTGAGATTAATAGAAACTGACTTGATCGGCTCAGAAAAAGAAACACTACTAGGCTAGAAAACAAACTGAAAGTGAGAGGCAATAAACTGCTGGTCCTGGCCTCCAGTATTTTACTCGTACTTTCTACACCCCCACTCAAAATATCGACATGCACTGGACCCGTTAAATATGTAATAAAAACAATCCTGTATGATTACAAAAAGTCAATTGATGCCGTACCAGTGACGATGCCCCAAGTAGATCAACGCTAAGGATACTATACAAAGCTGGCAAAAATTTGACCGGTCTTGCCCAGTTAACAAACCGCCCCTGGTGACAATATCCTTTGAATCTAGAGAAGTAGATCGGAGCCGATGGCAGTGGGAAATCAAGACGAGTCTGAATATAAAAGAAAAAGTATAGATCTAGTCTTTACAAACGAATGCTTGTACGTCACTCACTCATGAATCATGAAGGGACACAAAATGACTATTCAGCAGGATGATGATGATGATGATGATGCTGATGATGATGATGATGATGATGATGATGATGATGATGATGATGATGATGATGATGATGATGATGATGATGATGATGATAATGATGATGATGATGATGATGATGATGATTATTATCATTATTATTATTATTATTATTATTATTATTATTATTATTATTATTATTATTATTATTATTATTATTATTATTATTATTATTAATATTATTATTATTATTGTTATTATTATCAATAATAGTAGTAGTAGCAGTAGTAGTTGCAGTAGTAGTAGTATTTGTAGGAGTTGTTGCAGTAGTAGTAGTATTAATAGGAGTATTTGTAGTGGTAATAGTAGTAGTAGTAGTAGTAGTAGTAACAGTAGTAGTAGTAGTAGTAGTAGTAGTAGTAGTAGTAGTAGTAGTAGTAGTAGTAGTAGTAGTAGTAGTAGTAGTAGTAGTAGTAGTAGTAGTAGTAGTAGTAGTAGTAGTAGTAGTAGTAGTATACACACACGACTGTAATGGAGAGACGAACACACACGACACCAAACATTCAAATAATGAGCCCGGGTGTAGAATTTGACTTTTTATGTTGATCCCCGAAGTGAGTAACATTAACCAAAAGCCATTGGAATACAGGGCGCTTACGTCCCGTGATTAAAAATGAGTAAGGTACAATACTGTGACTACCGTGATACTAGTAGGAGTAGTCTTTTTATTTACTGTTATTATTACTCTTATTATAATTTGTATTTCTATTATTTTTGTTATCATTATTATTATTGTTGTTATTACTATTACTTTCATCGTTAATATTATTTATTTATTATTATTATTATTTTTATTTTTATTATTATTAATATTATTATTATTATTATTATTATTATTATTATTATTATTATTATTATTATTATTATCATTATCATTATCATCATTATTATTATTATCATTATTATTATTACAATTATCGTTGCTGTTATTATTATTATTATTATTATTATTATTATTATTATTATTATTATTATTATTATTATTGTTACAATTATCGTTGCTGTTATTATTATTATTATTATTATTATTATTATTAGTAGTAGTAGTAGTAGTAGTAGTAGTAGTAGTAGTAGTAGTAGTAGTAGTAGTAGTAGTAGTAGTATTATTTTTAAAAAATTTCTTCTTCTTCTTCTTCTTCTTCGTCTTCTTCTTCTTCTTCTTCTTCTTCTTCTTCTTCTTCTTCTTCTTCTTCTTCTTCTTCTTCTTCTTCTTCTTCTTCTTCTTCTTCTTCTTCTTCTTCTTATTATAATACTATTATTTCCATTATTATAATCATTATTATGATCATTATTATTAGTATATTATTAAGGTTGGTGTTGAGAGTATTATTACTACTATTACTATTATTAGTATTTTTATTGTTATTACATTTATTACATTTGTCTTCATCATTATCATCATCTACATCATCATCATCATCATCATCATCATCAGATA